TAGTATCTTTTTGCATCTTGAACAAATGCATATTGTCAACCCAAGTTACCTTACCCCCAAGAAAAGGATATACAAAATGACCCAAGGATGGATGCAAAATGAAGTGTCTATCCAAAGGGAGAACATGGAGTAGGTTAGTAAAACCAATTGTGAATGTGAGGAGAAAAATGCATAACAAAGGCCATGATTGAAACCGAAAGTAGAAAAGTTTGGAACCTAACAAGGTTGTTGTCCTGATTTATCCCTTCTGGGTCAAGAGGTTCATAAAGAACAACAGCCATATTGCACAAGGAAGAGGGCATGCGTTAGTCTGGTTTGCTTCAAAAAAATTCAAGTCCTTCAGTATTTATAGGCCATGAAAGGGATTGGATACTTTAATGGCTTTGCCTCGAAACCAATCAAGCATTTATGACGGTTTAATGAGGAGAATGAAATGTCACCTTGAACAGTAGTTAAAGCGTCGAAATGCACGCACACAGATCAAATGACAGTAAGACGTGATATGAGTGGCAATTAATGTCATTCAATTCACAATCCTATCAACCGCCACTAAAGAAATGACAAGACAGATATGAATGAAGATAGTAAATGGAAAAAAAAGTCTTTCTATTTTTCATTTATCATCTTTCTCGAAAATATACAAGATCAAAAAAATGTATATTTGGTATAGTAACCTATTCACGACCTATAATTCGGCTGAAGCAAACTCGGTAAGGGTCGAGGGTCGAGCCCGTATCTACAGCGGACGTGACATTCACTGCAGCGACCTTGAGCTTATCTAAACGCCTTTGGTAGGATGTATATTCTTCTAGGAGCACCGCACACTCGACTTGAAGCTTGCATCTATCTCAACCAGCTTCTGGGGAAGAGAGTCGGAGTGGCTTGAGCGAGTGGAGCAAGTTTGGGTGTGTTGGTTCAAGTTGACTAGTCGCTCTCATTGATCTTGAGTGACGGTGATGCAATCCTGTTGTTTCTAGTTCAACAATCCCCACATCCTAAAGAATGGTCGAAAGTCCATCAGCTAAGTGAGCATGTGCCTGGTAATCCTTGTCAAGAAGAAAAGATGATATGGAAAGGGCTCTAATTGAGTCAAGTTGCTCCTTGAGGAGGCCTATCTTGTCCGCTAAAACAGCAAGATGACCACTTAGGACTATCATCGCAATCTCGTGATGGTTTTCAAACTCGCGATTCATAATAAACTGAGACTGTTTTAATGAAGCTAGGATAAGAGATAAGTTAGCATCGCGAGAAAGAAGAACAACCGAGGAAATGGTAGTGGCATGAGTTGGGGCCTAACCTAAACAGTATCAGTAACCTCAAGTGTATTTTGGCCTGCTGGAGAACCAAGAAGTTCTTGCCTCGGGGTTAAACTTTCTTCAAGTTCAAGGTCCACACCTTCGACGTCATCGATTACATCAGTGGGCATGTTATCAAAAGAAGGCTCTAGTGGAGCCAAGCTAGCTTTGTCCATAGAAAAGGTCATAGAAATTGGAATAGTAGCTGGAGCAAGGGGCTTTAGATTCTCGAAGATGGCGCCTTAAGAAGGCCCATACTAATTGAAAGAGTCATAGAAAGGGTACTTTCACGCTAACAAACTAGGTGCGTAAAGGGTGTATCATCTTCAACATTTGGATCTTCATCAACTTGAGCATGAGAAACAGATGTGGAAAGAGTTGCAGAAGAATGTCACTACTTATCTTTGCAGTGAGGCCGTGTCGGACAAGTAGGAACGGTTGAAGAAGCTAGATCCTCCAAATTTCCAATTGGCCTATCCCCTCCATCAAACCTTGGCAATCTTTGAAATATCGAATGATTTCCTAAAGGGGGCCATCCGAAAATAACAGCAGGCATGAGAGTAGTGATGGCTGACTTCTCAGACGGTCATGTCGGTTACATTCGACTGAGTGATAAGATCAATATTTAAAGTGCAAGAAAAAGGATAGGTGATTTGTTGCACTAGGGCTAAAAGACGAGTGAATTGTTGAGGTATGTAGACTTTAAAGCCGCAGTAAGCGTTGGGACCATACGTCGGCCATAGGCCGTAATGCAAGTCTCGAGGGTGGAGATACGAGAACCAAGCATCTTCATGAGAAGTAGCGGCATTCGTAGTTGCTTCCTTAGGATTGAAAAGGAACTGTTCGGGACCTCGGTTCCAGGAAAACAATATCCAGATGAGTCATGAGTCATTCAGATTATACAAATAAGAGAAGATGTCAACAAAGGACTATTCCCTACAAGGGACTGTGGCAAATAGGCGGCCATAAGAAAAGTAGGAGTTATCAGTAGGTGGAATAGAGAGTTTTGAGAAATAGACACAAATCCATAGCTGAAGGACCTAGAGAGGACCTGAACAACTCTGCAACTTTGACGACACTGTCTTCTACATTCTGCGATAGAGATGGGCAAGCATGAAAAGGGAGTGTATAAAGATCACGTGGCCAAGAAGGCGGCCAACAAGATAAACTCTTTGATTACGTTGTAAGACAGAGTGTAGAAGAAGAACTAGTTAAGCCAGTATAGTAAGAACGAGATGTATTCTTGATCTAAAACAAGGGCGTCATCGCAGTCACGACAGGCCGCAAGAAAATAAGAATAGGTAGATATTGACTTGATGTGCACACCAAGTGAAAACACGTAATTCACTTCCACATGTGTAAGCAGAGCATTAGCCTAATCCCAAAGGAGGAAGACCGAGGTGGGCAAAAATATAATATACTGTGGGCCATCATGCCAAATCAAAAGTGGAGGGCATTATTCACCACGAACCAAAATGAGAGAGTGGCGCTAAGTGGCAACTTGTCAATAGGCATTGAAATAACACTCAGTCCTATGGCAACATATATTCCAAGATGACACCATAGAGAAACTTTGGTTGCTTTAACACGAGCCACTGATGAAATCCAATTAGGGGAAAGGGTTTTCCATGCACGAACTAAATTGCTACTAGGCCAATTTTTTCATTGGAGAGATTCCCTGAAGTTGAACGGTAGGGACATGTGGCAATCAGGGTTGATACGCCACACTTCATCTGTACGCATCTTTGTGAAAGCGAGCCCAAGGGCCGTTTCTTGTGTTGAAAAAGAATCAGAAAATGGATTGAAGGTATGAAGAGTGTATTGAGTAGTTTCAACTTGAGAAACAGCCGCTTCAAGAGTAGCAGCATGATGAGTCTCCATTGTTGAAGAAGAAGGAAAAAAGTTAGAGTAATGAAAAAATACCAAATTTGGAAACGAATTATATAGGCGCTGAAATCATGTAAACTCTCACACTCATATTATCAAATATAGCAACGTAATTATGTTTTTAAAATGCTAATATACGTAATGGAGTATGCATGAACTAAGTAGATGATAGGAGTAGAAATAAAAATGTTAATAGTGTAGAATCGGGTAAATATTTAATTCAAACTTAGTTTTGAATTATAAATATATGAAACCGTTTGCAATAGAACTTATACCAATTATGTTTGATGTACAAATGTATGTTGTATAAATTTGGGTTGATTTTGGAAGGGTTTGAAATGGGTTGAAAATGAAAAATAAAAGAAATAGACAAATCTGGACAAGACTTACCGGTAGTACACTGTTTAGTAGATCCAAACTACCTGTAGTTAATAGGTAGTAAATTTCAAATAGATCCGAACTACCGGTAGTCAACAGGTAACAAGTTGCCAGTGGATCCGAACAACCGGTAGCTCAACAGGTAGTAAATTGCCAATGAATCCAAACTACCGACAGATCGTTAAAAAGTCATAATTTTTATGTTTTAAAACTCTTTTTTCACTCCATTTGCTCTCATTATTTCGCCCCACTCTCACCTCACACCTCTTAGAACCCTAATAGAAAGATTTAGAGAGACAAAGAGAAAAGAAAAATAAGAGTTTTAGGGTGATTCAAGATCAAATCTTCTTGTCCTTCACACCAAAGCCAAGGAGAAAGGTATGGATTTTCTTCCTATTCTCTTACATTGAGGTTAAGACTTAATTATATGTATTCTTTTGACTTTAAATCTCACTAAAACAAAAATCATTTTTTCGACGATTTTTTTCGTCGCTAAATTAAAAAAAAATCGTCACCAATTATTTTTTGCGACATTTTTTTTCGTCGCGTGTTCATTGCAGAAAGTATTTTGTGACGCAAATATATTTTCATCGCAAAAAAAAAAAAATTTGGACAAAAAAAAAATCGCGAAAAGTTCAAAAAACGTCGGTAAAATCTATTTCACCAATGAAAAAAAATAAAAAATAATAATTTAATTAATTTTTTACGACGTAAAAAAATCATCGCGAATAATTTTTTACAAAAATAAAAAATGTAAAAAATAATTAAATAAATACATTTGCGACATATAAAAATCGTCACAAAACAAATTGTTCCTATAATTTTGAGCGACGATTTTAATTTCGTCGCAAAAAAGTTTTTTTTTAAAAAAATAATTCTTAAAAAATTATATTCTAATAAAATTTTTCACCTATACACCAACAATACATGTGTTCAATAAAAAACTAACACAATTAATACATTTCACATTTTTTAAAAAAAAAACAAAATTTTATTTTCAAAAAGAATGAATTGCAAGAATCAAAGAACAAGAAGTTCTAAAAATAGAAAAAATAGTTTTAATCCTTCAAGAGTATTTAAACCATATCTAATTATATTCAATGTCTCTTAAACTTGAATAGCTCTATGCCTTGAAATACCATCTCCAAGCTCAACAGATCAGTACCAGGATCTGAACCACAATGCAGGACAAAGTTTCTTACATCATCCATCAGCCGAAGGATTGATAGAGTGAGACCACACTAACCTTTCCAAGTCCAGGAACATGTTCCCCATTTGGATTTGGACGTGGAATAACCACATTCACTAAAGTACCTGCCATTTCAAATTAAAATAAAAATTATTAAAATTAAAACATTATTAAAATTATTAAATATATGCATCAGCAATGAATATTAAAACATTATTAAAATTTTCTTCAGATTGTGCACCTGCTAATCCGTTTAAGATTTAGGACGTATATTTACAAACAATAGATGAGGGGTAAAAATCTTGGTTGAATTATTGTATACAGTGACGGCAGGCTTCAAACTCATGAAGAAAGCTGATATGTCATCCATATTCCAAATGAAACAATACCAACAGTTGCAAAAACCTGGCCCAATTCATACAAAAAGTTGTATTGCGGCAGAGGCAAACTTTGCCAATCTGTATGCCTGTGCACAAGTCACAGCCAAGAGCAAACGAAAAGTTAAAAAGAAAGGAAGGGTGTCATTCTTTAATCAATAAAATAGCTGTAAAGAATTCATAGATGTAGAATAGGTTGATGATTCAGGAATATTATGCTCCAATATCTCCACCAACTGACCCCAAGTCACATCTATCCTTTTAGCAGGGGCAAAGAAACAGTTGTTACAATAAAGTTGAGTTCAATAGAATTTTGAAAATAATAGCAGTAATAAACATGTATTCAGTCACGAGGCATTTAGATGACGAATACAATGAAAAGTCAACTGGAAGAGACTATATAACACTAAGTTTTGAAATTCATTCTGTAGTTAATAAAGCCAACTATAGGTCAGAGACCAAATATCCAGTCAAATGAACTGTCTCAGCACAAGAATGGTAACAACTACTGCCAAACAAAAGTGCATACCCTAAATCAGCAATGACAATGCTGACATTGTCTTGTGAGCCTTGGTCCTGTAATATATAAACTTGCAGAGTTAATAGAACAGACAAAGCAAATAATTTTAGATATGAAGCAGAAGGAAAAAAGATCATCCTGGCACGTCATACCAAAGCTGCTTGCGCAAGTGCTTCACAGGCTATCTGTAATCAGGACAACAGAAGTTTAGACTGTCTGCTACGGAACCAATCTAGCTATGAAGGCACATTGCTTACCTGAACATCTCCATGCTGTCGTAGTTGATTCCTAACAAAAGCAACTGCATCCAAGCTGAAATATAGCAGATTTGATAAGATGATAGTATTCTCATGCTTAAACTACCAAAGAAAGAGAGAATAAATAACAATTAAGTTAGTTGAACCTAAATTGTTATACAGTATATCTTGAAGAATCATGATGGACCTGTTCATGTAGTCCCACAAGCCATCAGATGCTAATAACAAAAATTCAGCATCTGATCCAAGAGCTAGTTGAAAAATATCAGGATATGCAGCAACCAAGTCTCCATTAAATTGTATCCTAGCACAAAATAGAGAAGCATTTGCATTAAACAAACAAACTAGTATTGAACTGCCGGTTAAACTATCCAACTTGTTATTCAAAATCAATTCTTGAATTGGTATTATCTTGAACATTTTCTCTTTAAAAGATGACTTGGTTATTTCCCATGATTTGCTCAGGTAATTGTATTGACTACAAGTACTCAATGCAGAAATGTCTCGGGGATCCAAAACATGATGATGAAGAACATCCAAAGCAAACTAACAAGTATTTAATCCACTTTCTTAAATACCACAAACATGAGGTACTTTACCGAGAAATAAATTTTTGAGACCATCTGCCTTCCTCAACTCCCTTCTCCAGCATCCTTTCCATGAGTAAAACAGCCCAAGATTGTTAGCTGAGCAAAATTCGACTAAAAAATTCTGATGATTTAGAAGAGAAAAAAGAGAGAATGTACTCATTCTTCTTTGTCTTAAACCGCATGTCACCAAAAGCACGGGATACAGAGATGTCTCCACAAATTCTTCCATTGACAATCTAGGGATTCCATTTCAAGAATCATCATCAATCATGTACATTTAACAATTGAACTCAGAAGAACATGCAGTTTTCTGATAAAACCTCCAGAACAAAAATAAATCAAGGTTTTCAGCACAACTACATGAAATATAGTTCAATAAAAGTAAGAACAGCGGTTGAATTAATTCAACTATTTTCAAATAAAGAGCCCATAAGACTATAAGTCATGCATCCAGAGAGGAAACCTCTTCATGAACAGAGAAATGCACAATTTCACCAGAAATTAAGGTTGACTCAGGAAATGCAAAATTAGAAAACCAGAAACTCCACTGGCTCTAGAGTCTAGAAACACTGCAACCCTAATCTCATAGAACAATGATGGGCAAAAGCTTGAACAATGGTGTTCGTGATCTTGAACTTAACTTTCTGATCTCCAAATTATAGTTCTAGTAGAAAATAATATATTTGTTGTTGTAATTTAAAAGGAACATGGCATAAGTGCCTACTATGAAATGCTATGCACAATTTCAGGGCAAGTCAAGAGGATTAATAAAATTAGACAATTTCTTCCATTCAGAACAGACTCCCAATGCAAATCTAGAGAATGAAAAGGATTTCTGAATAGAAAAACACACCCATCCACCTGCTTCTCTGATTTCTTGTTAGGGTTGTCAGAGGTCCTGGGGCTGGAGTGGTGCCTCTGTCGCTGTCAGTCGCCGGAGTGGTCGCTGGA